ATTTCAGAGAGGAAGGGAGAGGAAGAGATAGATAGAAATATCAATGATAGAAAATCATTGATCGGCTGCCTACGGCATGCCCCACACTGGGGATCGAGCCCACAACCCAGGCATATGCCCTGACCTGGAATCAACTGTGACCTCCTGGTTCATAGGTTGATGCTCAACCCCTAAGTCTTGCCAGCCAGGTTATTCCAATAAGTTTTGAGGCAACTGGAAATTATTTTCAGGAAGATGGCAGGATCAGAGCATGTTTTATCATTTAATAAGAATCCTTTCTCATGTATATGCAGTCTTCCAACTTCCATAAAGCAATATTGTCTTGCTGGGATTATTCCCCAATTTCCCCTACTTGAATCATAAAGAAGTCCTGGTTTATATGGATGAGATTCCTGGTCCTGACATAGATGTAAAAGGCCAGGGACCAGCATTATTCTCTTACCTTTGTCTGATTTCTGTCACCTCCTACCTCCCTCCCTTCGTCACCCTTGACCCTTGACGTTCACACAAACAACAAATAAGGAATGCAAATCTCCAAAGACCTATTTATGTTCTTCTATTTAAGTTCTGCAGGAGAAGTGGGCAGTCTGTCACCAAGATCCTCTCTAAATTTTGGGAATACAGTAGTGAGGCTCCAAACTCTCCTTCTTAATCACTTGCCCCTGCTTCATTTGCCCCACAACCAAATTCTCAGTGTAGAACGTAGAAGTAATCCCTGTAGAGAGCTGAATGTAGTGCTTCTCCACTTTCTGGTGGCTCAGTGTTATGGATGGGGGTGTGTGTGTGTGTGTGTGGGGGGGGGTATGTGTGTGAAAGCTCATTAAATCCTCAGACCAGAAACAACAGATTTTCCTCACTGTTCGCAGATCCGGCAAACTGACGTGGGATGGACTTTGGGCTACATGCTGAACCTGACCAACATGATCCCAGCTGAGCAGCCGGTGTCCACACCTCTCTCCCATTCCACTTATGTCTCCCTCATGGTCCTCTTCTCCCTGATCCTGGTTGCAGTGGTTTTCATAGGCTTGATCATCTTTCACAAGCCTTCATATTTCCAGAAAGACAGGGTATAGCAGGAGCAGCTGAAAATCTGCTGGCTGGAATGAGGGAAAAAAGACTTGTCCAGGGAGCACTTTCCTCTGCAGTGGTGTCCAAGGTCACCCTTCCTTGCTCACCAAGGCCAGTTTTGACCTGTATGAAGCTTCTCTGGCTTTGCTGAAGTCTTTCCTTGGAAAGTATTCACCACCTTCTGCCTCAAGAACTTCCTGATGGACATTGTCTCTTTTGTGAGTCTTTCCCAAACCTTCTCCCTTTTCTTTTATGTGCTCTGTGTTCGTGTAGGTCTTAAAAACCTGCCATCTTTCATGATCATTGCTTTAGAAAAGAATAATATTGATTTTATCCAGAAGGAGAGAGTCCTGAATCCTGTGCTGAGAATTTGTGCTGGCTAAAAGAAGAATCTCACTGAAATCTTACAGACCCTTTTACTCTCATTTTGCATTTATTAAGAAAGCCATACAATGCCTTTGGAGAGGGCAGACACACATCCCATTCCCAGTCTGCCCTTTGCATGGGAGAATTTTCCAGACTAGGCAAGTATATCCTAGGACCAAAGAGTCTTGTAAGGGAATTTATGTGCTTGTGCAGTTAATATTCAATCCAATCCAAAACAGGGATGTGGATGAATCACATATTCTTGGGTGATGCCAAAATGCTACAGAATGAAACATCCAGACCAGAGATTTTTAAAAAGCTGATATACATATAGGCATTCAGATACCAGGACATATACTACATGGTGGATGTATACATGTCAGGAAGGAAAATATAGTTACAATGGAGGGTTGAGAAATGCACCCTGGAGTTTTGTTTTTACTGTAGTAAAATACACATAATTCACCATTTTAACAGGCACAATTCAGCAGCACTGTATTTACAATGTTGTGCAATCATCTCCACTGTCTAATTCCAGAATATTTTCATCACCAAAAAATTGGCTGGAGACAAGACCACTCCTGGGTAGGTCAAAGCACCAACCTTTCAGTTAATAGGCAAATATACTAGTCAACTGCACCACAAAGATGCTATTGAGTTTAAAGCCATGCCATATCTGTTGTCCCAGTGTTTACTTTAGCGAGAGAGCTGCATTAGTGCAGCGTGACATGCCTTTTTGCTGTCACAGTATTTACACATCAAAATGTGCCAGGAACCAGTAAGTGTCGATGCCACTTCTGTCATACAAGTAGGAGTTGTATTTACTTATTCCATGTTATATTTTGTGGGAGAAGCAGCAGCTATGGACCTTGTCACGGAAATATGAAGAGACCCTGTGGCTCCTTTCTTTAAGGATTGGTGAGAGTTACTTTTTGAGCCGGATGGGGTGGTGAAGTGCTACTCTGAACTTGCCCCAGGAGTGACTATTGAGCTGATGTGGGGTGGGTTTGGTGAGGAGAGGGGGACGCAGGGGAGGGGGGAGGAAAAGCTCTCCCACAAACTAGAAGCCAAATATCCCTACATCTCTTGAGTAATCAAGTCATTTTTTTACAGTATCCAGCTGAATATAAGTGTTGTACCTTGATCAGGAATAAGAAGTCTAATTAGGGCATGTTTAACCTCTTTCTAGTAGTAGTAACTATATTGTTATAGCTAGTATTTATTGAGCATTTGTTATGTACTATGCTCTGTGTCCAGGCGCATTACATTAATTTTCTCATTTAATCTTCACAAAAATTTGAAGGTAGGTACTACCATTCCACTTCATAGAAACAGCAAGTGAGACTCAGAGATGCTACGTCACTTGCTCAAATGATTGAGGCAAAGTCTGGCATGCACTTTATCATTACTTTCTCTCCCATATATACTACTAGACAGTCTCATAACTTCCAAGCATGTGCTTAACTCTCTGCATGAGTACAGGGCTTCTAGGCATGGTAGAAAGGGAAGTACACAGAAGACCTGTTTCCTGATGGATTTGGGATTTAATGTTGCTTTAAGCCCACAAAGGCGCTCATGGCAACACTGATACTCTGTTCATGTACTTTTCACGTACTTTGCATGGTAACATATGTGACGTATGATGCTTATCAATGATTCCCATACTCCTGGCTTAATTATACTGCTTGCTCACTGCACAGCAGTTCAGAATCAAATAAATAGTAATTGATGATAATAATGAAAATAAAAGGTCATAAAAATAGAGCCAGTAGCAGCTCCTTTCTTCCTTATGTCTACATACACAAAGCACTGTCAGGCACATTACCTATTCTGGTCCTAAAAACCCCCATGAGGTGTTAAGTATTATTTCTATTTTACAAACAAAGGGCATATAAACTAGTATATGGCAGAGCCAACTCATGTCTCTGCCCCAAGTTTATTGCTTTTTCTTTTCTAAACCTCACCCCTTAGCAAGTTGGAATTAGAACTCACAAGTTTCCTTCTGTAAACACCTAAATCTTTTCTTATTCCATTTCTGTTTTATTGCCTGGATCCAAAAAATAAAAAATAAAAAAATCTTAAAGGTATTTGGGAGCCAAACTCCACTTATTATAAGTATCAAATCATGATTAGCAGACACAACCTCATCTGTAGTAGAGACAGAGGATTTTGAGGCAGATCTAGGAATCTGCTTCTGGCCATTCTGAATGAGGAAGGCCAAGAAAAATAGATTATATCAAAATTTTAATATTGGATTACCTACTGGTTATAAATGATTGCCATTCCTTCTTAGACTTTCACCCATACTTGATTCTGGTGACCCCATTCCTTTAGAAGGTGGGAAACTTTTTATTTTTATGAACCCACTGGGGGAAAAGTCTGAAGTGGTTACTTCTGTAGACAAAAGAATTGAAGTTAATTAGGGTATGCGTGTGTGTGCGCGTGTGTGTGTGTGCGCGCGCGCGAGAGAGAGAGAGAGAGAGAGAGAGAGAGAGAGAATTATAAAAGTTTCACCTTAATAAGGTATACTTCATTTTAATGTTGTATCAGTCAAGACCTCTGTAAGAAAAATATGGTACAGTCAAACTGAGTGACTATGGATGGTTTAATAAAGTGACTACTATATCCAAAATATTAGCATTTCGACATGTAGTTAATATAAAATTAATGAGATGTTTATTTTTTTCATATTAAGCTTTTGAAGTCTGTTGTGTATAATTGTACTTACTCTACATCTTAATTAAGATTAACTATATTTCAAGTGCTCAGTAGTCACATGTGACTCATGGCTACCATATTGGACAGCACAGGTATAAAAATACCAAAAGGACACATATAATAATCCTTCTTCTTTCTCTTGAGGGGGGAGATTTTTTTTGAGGGGGGATTTTTTTTTAAAGACAGCTACAGATGCTATAACATTCTTGCTATTATTTATTATATATGAAGTTTAACATTGTTCTTAAACAAGCTTTTAAGATTCTAGCCCCACATTTCACTTTATTCCTCAGTTTTTGTTGCCTTTTTTGTGAAGGGAGAGATGTCTATTATTCAGATCAACATGCCTGACCTTTGGAAAATTCAATCTGGATTCAACGATAAAACGATAATATAAGTAATTAGGGTGCTCCTATTTTATAATAGTCAAGTGTACACTGAATATTAAAATAGAGATAATAGCTCACAGAGCAAAGTTTACCATAAAATAGTAAAATCACTATTAAAATATATTCTCCTTTATTGTCAGTTTAAAAGATGAGCTGAATTTCATCCAAACTGGTCAGATCCCTGTCTGATTCAGATTCTAATCATTGCTATCTTGTTAGAACATGACAGTTGCTCCTAGTTAGCTGTGCTCATTAACCATATGTTTCAGTTTGTTAGTTTTAGTTTTAAAATTAGTAATAACAGCCCAGCCAGTGTGCTCAGTGGTTGAGCATCGACCTATGAACCAGGAGGTCACAGTTCGATTCTCGACCAGGGCACATACCTGGGTTGTGGGCTTGACCCCCAGTGTGGGGTATGCAGGAAGCAGCAATCAATGATTCTCTCTTAACACTGATGTTTCTCTCTCTCTCCCCCTTCATCTCTGAAATCAATTAAAAAATGTATTTATTAAAATGACAACAAACTCAAAGTTTCAGTGGCTTACCATAGTAAATGTTGATTTTCTTGTTCATGGGTCTGCAAGTCAACTGGGTAGCTCTGCTTCAGGCCTGCTGCATGTGCCTCACAGTCTCCTTGCCTGGTGTCTTCTTGAGCCATGTTCTCATGCTGAATGGCAGAGGTACAAGAGAGTGAGAGGAAACCTACAATACCTCTTAAAACCTTGGCCAGGACGGCCCATCACTTCCATCCACATTCTATTGATCTGAATAAGTCATATGACCAAGCACAACATTAGCAAGTTGGAAAAACACTGGGAAGAATGGCCAAGTTATATGGCAAAGGATATGGATGATTGATTCAAACACAGAAAAGGAGTGAAGCACTGGGCCTAGCTTTCCAATCTACCAAAGTGTCTCATTAACTAAAACATAAAGTGTGTTTTCTGTAAATTAATCTACTTACCTTTCTAAGGAATATTCTTTTAAAAACATGTCATTATTTCCAAGACATCATCAAGCTGCAACTCCCTTTCACAGCCTTAATCAGGGTGCTCTGGAAGTTCCCCAATTAGCCTCATATTCTAAAATCGTAGATTTTCTGAAAGACCATGCATCTATTTATTGTCCTAATTTTATATGTTTACGATCAAGTGTAGTTAAGTACCCAAGTTTTTATTTGCACATGATAGTAGTATCACAGGTATAATGGATTTTTAAATAACGGGGAAAGGGGTTTCTTCACAAGCCTTTTCTTTAGAAAAGTGGCATGTAAGACTACATGTGATAAAAGCATTGCTATACCTTTTGCATTTCTCTATTTTAAATAAATTTCTAAATTTAAATTGATGATACAATGATGGCATCATCAGCACTTGAGTTGACTTTTTGTTTTTATGCCCCTTTTGTGTGTATGTTGAATAGCAAAGCTCACCAGTGAACATGACAAGTGCTATACAGTCACCTAAGAACAACATAACTCCTTATAATTTATGAAGAGAGGGGGGAAAGTCTTGGGAGCTAAGGAGGAAATAGAGTGTATTTAGGATGAGCTAAACGGAACTCTACTTTTCCTCCTAAACCTGTCCCTCCTCCTGCATTTTATCACGATTAATACCACAACTATCTCAAGTAACGAAGATCAGAATCAACTTCATCAGTAATAACTGCCCACTTTGCCTTGGCAACATTTTTCATTTTGACTCACCTTTCCAATCTTATTATTATCACCTCAGTAAAGACCTGATACCAGGAATGGTGGTCTTGTTGCCAATCTATTACTGCCAGATTAATCTTTATAAAAAGCAGGCCTAATCACATTGCTCCCCAACTAAAACTGTTGTTGGTTTTCCGTTGCCTACAAAATAAGGTTAAATGCTCCAATAGACATTTGTGTCTTTTGATCCACGCCTGATTCTTCATCTGACACTGACACTGTTCAGGTGTTATTTGTTCAACCTGGAATACCTTTGTCCCACTCTACCTTCAAAGCTCAGTTCAAATGTTCCTTCCCTCAGTGAAGCCTTCTCTAAATCTCCAAGTTAGAATAAATTGCTGCTTCCCTTTGCTTCCACATCCTTATCTGTAGAACACTGAGACCCTTCTACTCAGGATCTGGGTTATACTCCTTGGGGCAAGATATGTGGCCCATTTCATTTCGAACAGTTGGGCTCAGGGGTATTTTAGGAAGAACCCAGTAACAGTCCTAGTTAATCTCCCTGTCCACTGCTAGGGGGCTGGTCCATACCACTATTTCTGCTTCAGTATCCTTATTTATGTTATCTCTTGATAGGTCTATCCTCTTCCTCCAGCTTTTAAAGACCAGCTCAACTCCTGATTCCTCAATGAAGCCTTCTTTGATTGCCCACATTGCATCTTCCTTCTTGGACCATGCATTTTGTATCTGTATAGCTAACCACTCAGCATTTGATTATACATATTAAAGTAGAATTTTAAGGATTAGAATGCACATTAAAGGGTCACACATCAAAATTTAATGTGTATATGACTCACCCAGGGATCTTGTTGAAATAAAAAGCATTTTATTTTAACTAAAAAATGGTTCAGTAGGTCTAGGGTGAGTCTGAGGTCTACATTTCTAACTGCCAGGTAATGCCAGTACTGCTGTCCAGGGATCTTCGGGTATTAAAGATCTCCACTATTTTATCATTCCATGGCTCTCAGGTAAGTGGTAATATACTCCCTGACTGCTGTGCTTCTTTCGGCAGACCATTCCACAGTGGGCCAGCTCAAATGCTACTTACAAACCTTACTCCTTCCCTTACACAACAAGCCTCAGTGCTGCTTTGTCAGTTTTCTGGACCTCCTGAGATTTCTGTCTCCCCTGTTCTCTGCCTTTGGGGAACCAGCTGCCTCACAATCAGTGGAGACCTGGTGTGCCTCAGAGGGATTTCTCCCAGCTTTTCTGCCCAGCCCCTAGCCTTCTATGTACTACCCTGGTGTTCTTGGTAGAAGCCTATGGGAAAGAGCTGGTAGATGATCCATAATGCAAACTCATGTTCAACCTTTAAAAATTCTTTAAAACTTCAGCTGGTTTCTTATTATTTCGATGGATTTTTTTCCTCCTTCTGTTACTCTACCAGGGGTGAAAGGGCTAGTGACTTTCAGGAATTTAGTTCTGATAGGTTTCAAGACACTATGATTTTATAGTTTAACTAGCCAGGTGGAAGTTCAAACTCCTATGTACATAATTATGTGTAAAATAAAAATGAATTATAGAAAATTATTTTTTATGAAGTTTGCAACTAGAAATGCAACCATTAGCATATGTAACTAAAAACAGAGTCTCAATAAATCAAATAGATTTCCAGTTTTAAAAAGCAACAATTATATGTACTCCATATTGCCAGTTTCCTTATAAATGCTCATACTAAAAAAATGGAAGATGTAAATGACTGATTTGTAATAACACAAGTTGCCTTTTGACATACAACTTATTTTTTTTTATTACAAAACTAGAGGCCCAGTGCATTAATTAATGCACAGGTGGGGTCCCTCGGCCTGGCCAGTGATCAGGGCAGGCCGCCGATCAGGGCAGGCCGGCCGGGGGGGAGGGACCGCAGGAGGCTGGCCGGCTGCAGGAGGTTGGCTGTGGGAGCGCACTGACCACCAGGGGGCAGCTCCTGGATTGAGCATCTGCCCCCTGGTGGTCAGTGCACATCATAGCGACTGGTCGTTCTGCTGTTCGGTTGATTTGCATATTAGCCTTTTATTATATAGGATAATTTTTGACAAGTAACAACGAAAAAGGGCAGATATAGATAAATGGTGAGCAGTTTTTAAAGTAAACTACTCAGCACCAATTGTAGTCTTTTCATAATGTTCTCTTTCTCATCAGCTTTGCAACCTATAGGCATACCATAATTGGAATCAGTAGCTTAAAAATATGCTATTTTGTGTTGTTCCATAGTTCTTGAATTTTTACCTCTATAGTAGTCAACTGAATCATCTTGTTGGAATACACATGTAGATTAAAGTCCCTGTGAAGAATTTTCTCTGTCTCCTGCAGTTAAATCCATTTGAAGGATGTATTCTTCAACTATTTTCTGGACAGACCAGTCTAATAATATAACAGAAACAAGTTACTTTTAACTTTTTTATTATTAAAATTTTCAAATGTAAACAAAAGTAAAATAGAATACACACCTATTACAGAATTTCAATTATCATCATTTTGCAAATCTTGCAGAAACAGTGTTTACAATTATAATCACAGAAAAGGATTTAAACTTTATGGAGGGCACTGTGCAAAAGAAGAAATAAATGTACTCTTTTACCAACTGTCAAATGGCGAAGGTGGGCAGGATTATTGTATTATGCAACATGGTAAAAGTAAACAGGTGTAAGGTACTTAATTGTACAGAAGGATGCACCTTGTATGAAGGAGGTAGAATATATCTTACAGGACCGTCTTCCTCCTGCTGGGAGAATTAGGACCACAGCAGCTATATTTGCTTATTCCTTTTAGATTATGAAGTTAAAGAGAATAGCAGAATAATTTTGGTGTAGCAGTAAATCAATGAGTTATGTTACTTAAAGACAATCTCTTAGAATACTTGACACTGAGAAGCTGAAGAAGGCTAATGAATCACCTATTTTAAATTGTAAGTTTTGCTTTTTATATGTTTAAACCTAAACCTCTCTTTTTTAAGGCTGCTTTTTAAAAATATATTTTTTATTGACCTCAGAGAGGAAGGGAGGAGAGAGGGAGAGAAACATCAATGATGAGTGAGAATCATTGATCAGCTGCCTCCTATATATCCACTACTAGGGATTGAGCCCACAACCCAGGCATGTGTCTTAACTGGGAATCGTGCTGTGACCATCTGGTCCATGGGTTGACACTTAATCACCTTTCTTTTAATAAAGCTCTACTAAAATAAACATTTGTGAGATAATTCTAGCAGGTTTTTAATGTAAATATTCACTAGTGTCTAGAACAGCCGTGGGCAAACTACGGCCTGCTGGCCAGATCCGGCCCGTTTGAAATGAATAAAACTAAAAAAAAAAAGACCATACCCTTTTATGTAATGATGTTTACTTTGAATTTATATTAGTTCACACAAACACTCCATCCATGCTTTTGTTCCGGCCCTCCAGTCCAGTTTAAGAACCCATTGTGGCCCTCGAGTCAAAAAGTTTGCCCACCCCTGGTCTAGAAACAACTCTATTTTTTGTGTGCTACGGTCCCTTCTTAGGCCTGTCAGTAGTGGGTAAATGAAAAGGAAGAGGGCATTACTTCTCCAGGAGAAGAGAAAAATCAGAATTATTCAGGTAGCAAAATGCTGCATATTTTGAGGTAAGAATTAAGGCTGGAAGAACAACAGAGTAGAAGAACAGCCCATTAATGTCTAACTTGTATTAAATTAGTGCACAATAGATAATCTCATTTTATAGGAAACTAGAGGCACAGTGCACAAAATTCGTGCACTGGTAGGATCCCTAAAGGCTGCCGGCTGCTGGCTGGGGCCTGCCTCGCTTCCCCTGGCCGGCCCCGCCACCTGATCGAACTCCCGGACAACTCCCAGTCGAGGGGACAATTTGCATACTATGCTTTTATGATATAGGATAGTCCTATATAATAAAAATGTAATATGCAAATGGTCATTATCGACCACGTAACGACTGGATCACAGATCAGCAGGAGAGTGGGGCAGCAAGCTACAAGCGGGCGGCAGAGAGCTACAGGAGGGGGCAGGGTAGCAAGCTATGGGTGGGGGGTGTCGGGGGAAGGGAATGAGGGGAGCTACAAGAGGGCGGGGAAGCATGCAGAGAGCTACAGGAGGGCGGTAGCGACCTACTGGCACATGGATTTGTGCGCAGGGCTACTAGTAGATAATAAAAGCATCATATGCTAATTAGACTGGACAGCCGAACGACCTTCCAGACATCATTCTGGACGTCCCAGATGAAGCCACTGTGGCAGGGGTTGAGGCAGAGGTGGTTAGGGGCGATCAGATAAGCGGAGAGCTACAGGAGGGTAGCTGCGAGCTACTGGTGCAGGGATTCGTGCACAGGGCTACTAGTAGTTACATAATATTTGAATTTTTAATAAGAAGAAAACTAATTATTCCTTGTGATTTAATACAGTATTTTGTATTCTGAGATTAGTTTACAGAGAAAAATGCTAAGAGAGAGTGCAAAACATTTTTAGTGTAGAGAGAAAAAGTTTCAAGATAATTTTTAAATTGTCTCTATCAGCTTATAAAAATACATATATATGTATATATATATATATACGTGTGAGTTATAGAATAAATTCTAGTATATACATAAGTATATGTATATTTCTATACATAAATGTATACGCATTTGTATATGTGTGTGCACATGTGTGTAAGTCATAGAAGAAATTGTAGTACCATCCGACAGCCTTGATTCGGTTTTAGATATACTGCCAGAACAAACACAAATTATTAGGGTCATAGTATTTGAGATTTTGAAGGGATCATAGAGATTACTTAGTTCAATATTTGCCAAATAGTTTGGAATTTGCCAAATAGTATCTTATATCATGTTAATGCTCATTCTGTGGGGGAAACAGAATTCTGTGTTCAAGGTGAGGAAATGGCTGGTTAAATAAAACTGAATAAATTTCTACTTCAGGAATGCTAAGGGCTTTTAATAAGCTGATGTTCATGGTGGCAGCAGTTTGCATTTCCAAAACTTATTTGATTAAAAAGAACTCTTGCCCTAACCGGTTTGGCTCAGTGGATGGAGCGTCAGCCTGCGGACTCAGGGGTCCCGGGTTCGATTCCGGTCAAGGGCATGTACCTTGGTT